CTACTCCCTGCCGGCTCAGGCCTCACTACCTTGCTCACTGTGAACACAGTGGCCACCTAACTTGCCTCCCACACCTGTCCTCCCAGAACTCAGAAGTGGTACTACAAGGTTTGGCAAAGTGTCATCATGTAAGTAAGGTATCTGTCCTAATAGCAGGTCACCTTCCTAACACTAAGCTGGCAAAAGTGGAGGTGGAGAGGAATTTTAAACGCCCTATAGTCCAATGGCCACTGAAGACGCAGGACCCAGTCACCCACTTTCTCAGGTGGACTAGAATGAGTTTCCCTGGTGCTGGGAACAACCACTGAGCTATAAGGGTCAACCACTGAGCTATATCCCTAGCCCTCATTTTAGGTTTTTGAGACAGGTCACCTAGCAACTGGGATTTGAAGCCAGGCAATCAGCTGCAGAGGCTGCGCTCTAACACGGGTCCTTTCTGTGACAATGGCACATGCTGCTTATCTGCCCACACTGACACAGTGCCCTAAGATGGGTGTGCTGGCATCGCCTTTAATCCCAGCACTCGGGGCAGAGGCAGGTGGATCTCTGGGAGTTTAAGGCTACCCTGGTCTACATAATAAGCTACATAAGACACTGTCTAAAAAGAAATATTTTTCAGAATATCTTTTCAGAGACAGGAGAGAGGTTCAGTAGTTAAGAGCACGGCTGTTCTTGGAAAACCTAGGTTCAGTTCTCAGCAGCCATATGGCAGCTCTCAACCACCTGCAACTTCAGCTCTATCTGATGCCCTCTTCTGACTTCTGCGGGCACTGCACACACAAGACTCACCTACATACATGCAGACAGAACACTCATATATGAGATAAAATAAACTAATCTTTTAAAAAGCATTCTGGAGTTCGTGGTGATGGATGCTCGAAAGCATCTGCCCTCAGGATGAATTCACTGCGCTCCACTGGACCATGCATTTAAGAGAGAGTGTGAGGCCCGGATGATGGCTCCACCGCTGAAAGTAAACATCACTCTTGCAGAGCACCCACTTTGGTTCCCAGCACCCACATGACAGCTCACAATTATCTTTTATAATTCAAGTTTGAGGGGGCTCCAACTCCCTCTTATGACTTCTGTTACCAGTCCCAGGTGTGCACAAGGTGTACAGGCATACATGCTGGCAAAACACTTGAGATAAAAATCAGCCAAGGCTGGTGTTGTACACCTTTAATCCCAGGCCTTGGAAGGCAGAAGCAAGAGGAGCTCCATGAGTTTGAGAGCAGCCTGGTCTATACAGTGAGTTCCAGGACAGCCAAGGGTACTTGGTAAAACCCTGTCTCAAAAGACAAACTAATTAATTCATTAAATCTAAAAAAAAAAAAAATATTAAAGAGTTGCTGGGTGGTGGTGGTGGTACAGTCCTCTAATTCCAGTACTCGGGAGGCAGAGGCAGGCAGATCTCTGAGTTCACGGCCAGCCTGGTCTACAAATAGAGTTCCAGGATAGCCAGGGCTACACAGAGAAACCCTGACTTGAAAAGCAAAACAAGACAAAAAGAAAAAAAAAAGAGCAAATTTTTTATCTCAATAACGCTACCACTGCCCGGGCGAAATAATTTTTAAAGCCAGGCAGTGGTGGTGCACGCCCTTAATCCCAGCCCCCGGGAGGCAGAGGTAGGCGGATCTCTGTGAGTTCAAGGCCAGCCTGGTCTACAGGAGCTAATTCCAGGACAGGCTCCAAAGCTACAGAGAAACCCTGTCTCTAACAACCAAATAAATAAATAAATAAATAAATAAATGAGAGAGAGAGAGAGAGAGAGAGAGAGAGAGAGAGAGAGAGAGAGAGAGCCAGGCATAATAGGCCAGGGGAGGCAGAAGCAATCAGGCCTCTGTGAGTTCAAGGCCAACCCAGGTCTACGTGGTGAGCTCTAGGGCAACCAGGACTAAGTAGTAAGACTCTGTCTCAAAACAAAGAAAATTGAAGGAATGCTTTGCTTGCTCTAAATTAGGGCTATTCTAACAAAACTTCTCTTTGTTGCCGGTAAAGTCACTCCAGATAAACGGGGAAGTAACAGCAGGCCAGTCTTGACCTTTCCTCACCTTTCAAACTACCCACTGGGGACCCCTGCATGTGCTCACTCATCTGCCAACCCAGGAGAGAAGGTTTCTTTTCCAGACTAAGGGGTTCAAAAGTCGAAGTCTATCTATGGAAGTGAGCACCCACTTTCCCCGACACCCCTGAGCTCTGGGGCTCTCAACTGTCCCTTACCAGGCAAGGCATTAAAATTGTTCATGGATTATGGCAACATTTTTATGCCTCAATGATAAACAAGACAAAGCTAATATGGGGGGGGGCTGGGAAACATCCTTGTAAGTGTCTCCTTGCTCTAATAACAGCAGTGCAATGCAATTAATAATGGCTGTTTATGGAGCAAGTCCGAAGGACTGAACAAACTCTGTCGTGGTTCTTTACAAACGGGGCATTTCATTTAGCCTTCCCAGGAACCCTGAGGGTTTTTATTCCCGGTTTTTAGATTAGGAAACAGGCCCAGACAGATTGTTAATCATACGGGCGAGAGAATCTGAATAAACAACAACAATAATAACCTGGACTCCAAAGTTCTTGCCTCTACTGCTCTGTTTCAAAACGAGCAAAATGAGAAAGGAAGCTGGGCAGCAGTGGTGCAGGCCTTTAATCAGGAGGCAGAGGCAGGCAGAGCTCTGTGAGTTCAAGGCCAGCCTGGTCTACAAGAGCTAATTCCAGGGCAGCCTTCAAACCTCCTCCCCAAAAAAAAGATGAGAAAAGAAGCCAGAGGTTTGAAGGAACTGCAGATTCTTCCTATACAGCCATCAAGGGGGCTCAGTCCCGGGGGCAGTGGCGCACACCTTTAATCCCAGCACTAGGAGGCAGAGGCAAGTGGATCTCTGAGTTTTAGGCCACCCTGGTCTATAGAGTGAGTTCCAAAACAGCCAGGGCTACACAGAGAAACCCTGTCTCAAAAAAACAAAAAACAAAACAAACAAGATGGCTCAGCAGGTAAAGGTACTTGCTGCCAAGCCTGATGACCTGAGTTCGGTCCCTGAGATCCACAGGGTAGATGCAGAGAACTGACTCCCACAGATTGTCTGTGGCAGGCACACACCCACACACATTACAAGTGAAGTAGCAGATAAATAAACGTAATTATTTGAAGTAGTACTGTTAAAAAGCTGACTTGCTATAAGTCCTGGAGAGGAAATACAGAAAACAAAAGGCCACTAGTGCTCCACATCTGGAGGTCAGAAGGCACGAGGACCACCCAGCTTCCACTGCCTCACCACTGCTTCCTGCCAGAACCATTTTTCCACTGATCACTATCTAAGATATCAAAGCTCGATGATCCCACCGTGGCAAACTCACAGAGACACAGTTGGAGAACTCACTCAAGCAGGAAGGAAAAGAAATCGGTGGCAGGAAGTGGAGCTTTATCTAAAAACACAGAGTGTCACTGTACAATGTGTGAACACCGCCACCCCACAGCTCTTCAATCCGCTACCTTTGCCTCCCCTGGCATTCTGTTACTGCGTGCTGCTGAAAGCGGGCTCCTAAACTTTCTCCATGTGTCTAACAAGTTCCACAGCCGACATTAACGCTCTCTTAGCCTCAATGGGAGAGTGTTTGCTTTGAACAGTGAGAAGAGAGACGGGGAGAAAGAGGGAGAGTGAGGGAAAGGAGGAGGAGGAGGAGGCTGAAGGGAGAAGTTCTGGGAAGAAGGGAAGGCGAGGTGAGTGAGGGAGGAGGGGAGGGGGTAAGAGAAGTCACAGGTCAAAGGATTACACCTGAAGGAAAAGGCTACATAAATCAGGAAAGACAACATGAGGGGAATGGAACGTGACCAGACAGAAATGCTAACACTAAGTAGCTGTGGCAGGCAGAAACCATAAATTCAGTAGGGAAACACACACTCCTTTCACTTTTCAAGGCGCCACCCAAAACAAACTGAAGCAGTAAACCAGCTGCAGACTGACAGACGGACGGACACTGCTCCGAATGTGAACACACACCAAGAAGAGAAAGAAACACTAAGAAAATCAGTTGCCTGGGAGGCCTGCTCTCCACCAAAACAGAACTAAAAGAATGTAATATGCATCTACACAAAGGGAACAGTACTTCTCGGGTGGGAGAGCGTAAACTGGGTTGCACAAGTGATTAGAAAATGCCGAAGGAGTAACTTTACTCTCCACCCTGGGACCACTCTGCAATAATTTCTGAGAAAAGGGCCAACGCCAAGACAAAGTAAGGTCAGGCTTAAGAATTCCCTTAACTTTCCAGGCTCACACCCCTGCCGGCCTGCCCCAGGCTAGCCCACTGGAACCCCTGGGGAGTTCAAAGGGGGACCAAGGCCAAGGGCCACCCCCACGCAAGCAGCCACCCATGCTGTCGGTGACCCCGGAGGAGTTCTGTAGAAAGTCGGAAGCGGTGGTGCAGGTGGTCCTCCAAGGCCAGGCTGACAGCGGCAACTCCCCAACTCCGCTGCCCCCACACCCGGTCCCCGGACACCTCCCAGCAGAAGTTCCCCTCCTCAGACCCCAGCCTGCACCCCACACCCAAGCGGGCCAGGCTCCTCTCAGAGACAGCTGCTCCAGGCTGGGCCACCCCGACTCCAGCCCTCCGGCCTCGGGGGGCGCCCCAGGCCCGCGGGATTCGGGAATCAGGATGTGGAAGGCTCTGGGTCCAATCCCCACTCCCCTCAGCGTCCTGGGCTCACCTCCCCGGCAGCTTGGCGCTCCTCTTCCAGAACTGCTTGCTGTTCTCGGCGGCCATCGCTCTGGCCCCGGGGGTAGGCCTGGTCGGTGGGTCACGGGGGCGCCCCGCGACAGGCCCCCGGAACCCCGCAATCTGAGGGCCAGCCCAGGCCGCTTCCCCGCCGCCGGTCACCCGCTCCCAGCTCCTGGGGGCGCCATCTTGGATGTGGGCACTCCCCCCGCCCAGCGCCGTTGCCATTGGTGGGCTGCGCAGGCCGGTGGACGGATGGACCAATGAAGATCTGGGATCCTGAGGGCCGCTGAAGCCCCGCGGCTACGTCAGGGGCTGGGCACACAGGTGGGCCGGAGAGGCGGGGCTTCGATGGGCAGGAAGGCGGGGCTGAAAGTTCCTACTCAATGGAAGCAGAAAACCAGGTAAGGGAAGAAAGAAAAGGGAGATGAAACTGCCTTTGACGGACTGAGGTTCTGGGTGTCATTGGGAAGGAGGGGGCGGTAAGGAGATACCAGAACATTTATATACAGAAACCTTTAACCTATAAGTAAGACCTCCTGTGATAACTGTAGACCATTTTTGAACGGCTCCCAACTCAATGGTACCCAGGGCTGTTACTCCCCGTCGTTCCCTTATGATCCCAGTTTCTTAGAAGATAGCTTTGGCGGTAGCCCAGAGTGGATAACTGTTGCCTGAGCAAGCAGTTGGCTCCTCAGAACCTCCCTCTCTTCTGCTAACTGAACTCCGTGCTTCAAGTGATGTAATCCCCTCTTCAGGTCTCGTCCTGGTTATGAGAACCCAGATCCTGAGAAACCATGCTGAGGAAATAGGACTTCTCCCTTCCACTTCAGATTTCCAGGTGCCATGTCCGCTAAGGATGTCGGACATTTTAATGGCACCAATGAGAAAGATAAAAGATGAATCCCTTCCCAATATCCTTAACTCCCCTTATTAGTCTATTATAAATCTTCCTTCTTTAGATTCATTTCAAATTAGATTAGATTCATTTCAAATTTAGATTAGATTCAAATGCATTTTCAATAGCATTTTGACGCAAAATGAAACCCAACTTTAGCGTGTTGTCCGTTTTGGCGCCATGCTAATGACTCCTCTTTGGAGTGTTCTGCCCTAGGGTGGTCTGGGAAGAAGTTTTTGTTAGGACAAAGGACTGTGGATCTGTGCAGATTGCCTACCCCATGCATCCCTATACTAGAAACCACCCCATGGGTTCTAAATATTGAAAAGTTTTTATTTTTAATTACACTTATTTGTGCATATGTACGTGTGTGTGTGTGTGTGTGTGGTGTGTGTGTGTGTGTGTAGTGTGGAGGAGGTCAAGTTGCAGAATTCAGTTCTCTCTTTTCACCATTTAGGGCCAGGGAATCAAACTCAAGTCCTTAGGCTTGGCAGGAAGCCCCTTAGTCCCGTGAGCCAGCCATCTTGCTGGCCTAACATTTTGGAGAATTCAGACAGGGTTTCTCTGTGTAGGGTTTCATCTCTCTTTGGAGCCTGTCCTGGAACTCTCTGTAGACAAGACTGGCCTCAAACTCAGATATCCTCCTGCCTCTGCCTCCAGAGCGCTGGGAGTGTGCCACCACCGCCGGGCCTTTTCTGTCATCTTACCTGCCAGCACTGCACACTAACCCCTGAGAAAGTGGAAACAATTTCTTCGGGGTGGGGAAGGATACGGTGGAGCAATAGGGGAGTAGAGGAAGGGAACTGAACAGTCTATGCCGCTCCTTCTAATAACCAACAAGAGCGTGAGTCCACCAAAGCTCACCTTGGGAAACGGATGAGTTAATGAGGCTGCCTTACAGCGCATGTGAGGGCTTAGTGTTAGGAGTGTGGGCGACCCTAAACAACGGCACTGGAAAGTCGGCACGGAGCATGGATGCTTGCTTCCCTATAGCCACCCGCATGGAGCCCCTTTCCCAACCTGGGTACTCTAGCCCCGCCCCCAAACCTCAAAACCATGTTCAATTAGATTTTTGGCTCAGAGTGCACTATCGTAAAGCTAGCATCTAAATCATCTTCTCCTGCATAAACCACATAAATTATGCGTGGCCCTGTGACAAGACAATGTCCACTTGGCAATTACTTATATGGTTTTAGAATGTTCTGGAAGCTGAGCAGTGGTGGCACACGCCTTTAATCCCAGCCCTCGGGAGGCAGAGACAGGCAGATCTTTGTGAGTTCAAGGCCAGTTTGGTCTACAAGAGCTAGTTTCAGGACAGGCACCAAAAGCTACAGAGAAACCCTGTCTCAAAAAATCTAAAAAAAGAAAGGAAGGAAGGAAGGAAGGAAGAAAGAAAGAAAGAAAGAAAGAAAGAAAGAAAGAAAGAAAGAAAG